GGGGGGGGGGGTGTTATGATTGCTTGAAAACTAAAAGACTTGAATAACTAAAAAGCTTGCAATTAAGCAAGGCGATGAGATGCTCAAATATTGGAGAGAATTGGTAAACCAAAGCAATTCAACACAATGAACATTTTGTGTGTTTATCATTAGGATTTAATATGAAGCTTATCATTCATTCCAAATTGGTTATAGCAATCATGAAGCATGATATGCCAAGCTTCCCTCATAAGTTGTATGGAGGTTGGAGAAGCCCACAACACGCCTTCTTAATCAAAATCAAAGATCCAATTGAAGCAATTGAACCCAAGAAGTTGATTAGCCTTAAGAATGAAGGAATCCCCAATTCCTAGAGGATGTCAATGCTTACACATTCATAAAGGAGTTATGATTCATAAGCTAGAGATGATTTCTACCATCATAAAGCCCTTGTTCTAAGTAAATTCAATTATTCAATGCTAAACCAAAGAAATAAACCAACAATTGCTTATTAAAGTACCAAGCTCATGATCAAAGCATTAAACAAGCATAGGAAATATGAACTAGAATCATAGACATAAGATAAATGATACATAAGCATAAATCCTTCAAAAACCCACAAACATTCAAAGGTTTTAGCCAAGGTCTACCAAAATAGAGGATTTAGCCACTCATGGCAATAGAATAACAATCACAAAAGTCTAATTGCATAAAGAAACTACCAATAACTTGGAAAGATGAAAAGAAATGAGTCTCAAGCTCCAAAATCGCCTTCTTCTGGTCTCCAATGGTGTAAAATCTAAGTGATAGCTGAAAGATACAACCCCCCAAGGTAATGGCAAGCCAAATGACCAAAATGCCCAAAACTGGGCAGTTGCGCGGGTACCCGTGCAACGGAGATTCCACCCGCGAAAGTGCTGCTGGAATTCTATTGGCTCATTTTTCCTCCACTAACCATTCCACTACCAAAGATTCCCTTGGTCCCCTCCATATCCCACATGATTCAAATTAACCTATCATCTTTTAGCTTCAAATATGAATGCTCCAAGCGCAAATTAACAATCCATGATCCATCTTCAAAAGCCCACTTCATCCAAGCCTATAGCTTTTTAAGCCCAAATCTCCTTTGGTGGATCCGCCAAGCCCAATAATGCATCGAAAACCCCACCATGCCCAACTCCAGTCAAACCACAACCGCAATGAGCTCCAAAACCCTGCAAAATTCCTCATGCAAAATAAAAAGTCCCCGATACGATCCATGATAAAGAAAATAAAGATATACAATGCAATACTAATAAAAAGAGCTAAAAATCTAAAATAAACTAATAAAAAGAAAGAAAAAAATAAACTATCACATATTGTTTTGGTTTAAATGCTTTTGTTGCTTAATTGATTTATGAAATTCAAAAATACACACTATGATCCAACACATAATATCTAGAATCTCTCATTGATGAAAACAATATGGGTCTGTAAACATCTGAATAAGTTAACTTGTTCTTCTTGGCCTTCGATGCTTACCCCATCTTTGGTGGGATGTCAAGTCCACCAAGCAAATTACACCCTTTGTTTGCAAATAAAACGTAATATAATGGTA